GTTTATATTTACAGATATCAAAACACAGCAACTAATGTAACATTAGATCACTTCAAATGATATGTACTTGTAAATATTGATAAAATACATAAATAAAGCAATCGTACTTCATCTGTATTCATACACATCGTTTGCTTTTTCCCCTCCAAATTTCTATTCCGCATCTGGTGTTCCGTAATGTATGTTCCAGAGCGATAAGCTACCCCCTGTCGTTCTCAGATAACAATACAAAATACCTGTACGTTATTTGAGGTCTTTGACTGAGTGTTTTTTTTAACCCGATCTGTGTACATCAAGGACGCACATGTATATTTCTTCTTGTTTGTCTGAAACGAGTAACGTGACGTCTTCCCGCCAGCATTGCCAGAAATAGACAATAGAATCTGGTCAAGTAGAGATTTCCTGTCTATCCCATTGCAGTGACTATAATTACATGCAAAATTATTCGAGACAACGGATGATGTCATAGACTTTAAAGGTCTATTGTTTAGCCTAATTGAGAGTATATTGTTATGTTAAGTAGTTCACAGCTTGGGGTTGGAAACAATAGTAAGTGAGGTAATCTTTTGTTTCATTTGTTCTGTGCCCACTTGTATTTGTTAGCTGATCATATGAAGCCATGTAATAAATGGTTGTGGTTACCAGAAGACAATATACCCTTAGGTACACTCTTAAGATGGCATTGAAGACAGCCACCCGTTATATACTTAATACAAAAATATGTGGACAGACGAATCTTGTAAATATCATTGTGGTCGTCAACAGCGATTGGTATGCAAATTACGCTTGTCTGACGCATCACAAAACAAAAGTCTAGACTGTCATGGAATAATACACAACTCACGGACAGACAGTGTGATGAAACCCCTTCTTTATAAAGAGGAAAAACGGCTGATACAATATATTGATCTTGTGGTCTGACCTGCAGCATCAAAAGCAGTATGGCGATAGTGGTTTGCGTTCGAAAAATGGGATAATTTTTAACATGGAATAACGGACATAAAATAAATCTTGATTCAGGTTACTTCCTGTTGTTAATTGGATTAAAACAGTTATATTTGCTAACAACTGGATCGTACATCTGTGTAAAAAATGCGTCAATTTTAACTCTAATTTGGGCAGCGAATACTGCGTCTACAACTGCGTCAGCTGCGTCGCCGTGTTCATTGAACCAGAGAGTATCCAGAACGAAGCAAACAAACTTGAACAGTCAGCTGCATTACTGCATTTTATTATTTTTAAAAATAGAGTCTGGCAACACAAATACACATCGCCCATTGGTAATACACTGGGCTAGTAATAGGATTTATCATCAGGTTTTACGGCAAGTTGGGCATTTAATGGTGGAGTTTTAATGAAAACATCTATAACATATCGAAAGCTTGGAACGTCACCTGTCTATTACAAAGCACACAAAAGTGAAAAAATGAAAAATATAAACTCAAAATTAAATTTTGTTTTGATATATGTTTATGCAATGCATTCTCTATGGCACATCCTGTGATGTTTATTTGACTGGGGAACACTGGCCAGGGCGGAAGTCGGCCATCTTGTCCACTCATTTCTGGCAATGTGTATTAATGTAACGTCTAAATGTGACCAGCATCTACCACAGGCAATTGCAACAGGTCATGTCCATTATATTAAATTCACGAGAGGTCATGTGCTAAAGGTCAACATACTATAGTTTACATTGTGTTATAGTTTTTCAGTCCAACTGAAGGAAAATGTACGAGAAATAACATTCTAGAGAGCATGCACCATATTTACTTAAATGCAGAAGTTGCTAAGGTCACTGACCTCTTGGTATGTTACACGTCATATTCTATTTTTATATATTATAATAATTGCGGCCATTTTGAGAGAGGTGTAGCAGATTGAACGCACGGAAT